CCATTCATGCGTCCAGATAACAGTAGATTCTGTTGAAATCTTGGACGGATGGGACAAGCGACAACAAGTTTAGGAGGTCGAAAGTACACCCTAAATTTGTTGTGAGCGCGTCCAAACCTTTGGGATGTGGTCCACCAAACATGGTGCCCCTTGTCCCATGTTGCCAGGATATGCCATTCGTGAAATCGGCGGAACAACTCTCCTTTCACGATTCGAGTCACCAATCCCACTGACGTGAGCGGGTGCTCTTGGACACAACGGTCCACAATATCCATGATTGCTGGCAACTCGTTGAACGAGCAAGAGATGATTGAAAATTTATCTCTCAAGGATTCAATTGAGATGTTTTCAAGTGGGTATGATCGAGTTTTAAAAACAGATTTTTCATTAATAGAAGAGGCATACAAACAAGCGATTTTGCATGATGCAAGCTTCTCTAGCTTTAGCAAATCCTCATCACGAAGGACATAAGCCTCATCTACTCGATCTCGCTCACCAACTAGGTACCCACCCCCTAGTTGGACTTCGGAAAATCCTTCGGGCCCGAAGGGCCAGAACCATCCGGCTTCTTGCACTGGTTGGGCTTGCCGGAGTTCTTGACGGACTTCCTCCAACGGCAGTGATAGGACTTGTGCCCGAGCTTGCCACAGATGCGGCAGCCTGCCGGGGGCTTATCCTCATCCTGAGGATCCTTGGCAGGCCCAGCATGGGCCCTCTTGGACTGAGTCCCAGAGGATTCCCCCTTCTGCTGATAGGGCCTCTTCCAAGAGCCACTGCCCCTGTGTGCCTGAGTCCTGTTACCACCCCCCCTAGGGCCTTCGGCACTAGGCTGCTGCTGAGCACGAGCGTGAGTCATGTACGCACGGAAATTCACATCCGTGTCAATGACCTGCTCCTTGCACTCCTTGTAGGTCCTCCACTGGTGCTCCCCGCACACAACATGCACACGCTTGATGTGCTCAGGGAGACCCTTGAAGAACTGGTGGATGACCTCGCTCTCAGGAAGAGCAGTCTTCAGCAGCGACAGAGTTTTCTCAAACTCCTTGGCGTACTCGCGTACAGGCTGGTCACCGCACTGGATGTTCTCCAGGCGGCTACGCACCTCGAGCGCCGGGGGCTGACTCAGGAATGCCGCCAGCATGGCAGCTTTGAACTCCTCCCAGCCAAAAGGATGGCCATTAGCCTCTGCGTGGCGCTTGTTGGCATACACCAACTTGCTCGCAGTGTCGTCCAGGGCAAGGGTTGCAGCGACCACACGAGCCTCGCTACGCACATTGTGGATGGACATAAAGTCCTCCGCAATGGAGAGCCAAGTCTCGACGTCGGTCTTGCCATGGACAAAACGAGGCAGGGCCGAAGGGCAGGAGCCAAAGGCAATTGCTGCTGCAGTAGGAGGCTCAGCACGTGCCCCAGTAGGAGGAGGAACAGCAGGAGGTGCATCAGCAGGTGCAGCACGGCTATTAGCGGCGTTGGCGACTCGCTCTGCTGCAGGAGCAGGCTGGTAGAGGTTTCCACGCCGGATCTCCCTGTACTGGGTCTGAAGCACAGGGATGCTTTTCTCCTGCTTCTTGAGCTGATCCTGCACGAACTGAAGAGTGTTGTGCAGGTCCTGAATGAGGCTGGAGGTGTCGTGTTCCTTAGGGATCAACTGCACCTCCCTGGTCAGCTGCTCAATCAAGGCCTGAAGCTTAACAGAATCAGCCTCCAAGTTCTGGATACGACACTGTTGCACTCCAATGAGAATATTCTGCTCCGTGAGTTGAGTCTGGAGCTTGACAGCAATGTTCTCAGTTTCATTGGAAACACCCTCATCAGAGCCAGCCTCTTCCTCAGTTTCAGCATCAGCCTCAAGGTCAGCTTCACTTCCATTGATCTCCATGTCAACCACGAAATCCTCAAGGTTGAGATCAATGTCAGCAGCAGCAGCAGCATTATCTCCCTCAGTGCCAACAACGGGCACCTCCTTAGTAGCATCCATCTCTTGACCAGCAGCCATGAAACAGGTTAAGGAGAGGAGATCTCAACAGATCTTATAATAATCTTTAAGAAATCTGATTACTCTTATAGAATAATCCAATACAGAATCTCTTAAGATAGACTTGTTTGCCAAATCTCTCTATCACCTCAATGATAGAGCAAGATATACTCAAGAGAGTAATCCTCAACAAGCCCTTTATAGATCTGAAGGTACACTCTTCTACACAAAGTAGATCAGGAGTCTTCCACCAAAGGTGGGTAAGAGAAATTAATCTCTTCAAATTTCTTCTCAATGTTGATGAAGAAAAATGAGCTCCTTGTAGATCTTGAAGCTCCAATGGTGTGTTGAGGAGATTGAAGCTTGAAGCTTGGAGATCTTGTAGAAGCTTTTGTAGATCTTGAAGAACCACTTGTAGATCTTGAAATTTCTTCAAAATCTTCAAAGATCTTGATAGCTCCTTGGATGAAATCCTGGATCCACAAGCTAGGATCCTCTAAAAAAAAATAGTCCAAGTAGCAAATGGCCACACAAGGCCAAGGAAGAACCTTGCTCTAGATACCAATGTAATGCCCAGGGCTATTATAATGGCGGTTACAAGGCTTTTATAATATTCCAATACAAAATAGTAGCTATAACTAGCCTTAATAGCCTTGGAGATGAAGATCTTCTTGATGCCTTTGATGAAAAGCACTTGGAGTAGTAGTGTAGGGAGACTTGTAAGAGAGCCCAAAAGGACTTAGAGAAACAATCCCATTTCCAATTGTTTTGTTGGAGTGGGAGGTTCAGAATGAGCTTGCTTAGCTCAGACCCCCTCAATACACCCCTTGGGGAACTATCCCAACCATGGTTTCCATGGTGGGATGGTTCCTAGGCTTGGAGCCTATGTGGCAATTGTGTTGGGTTGGAAAACCCAACTTAGAACCATTCAATGGTTGTGTTTAGGATAGAGTAGATTGTAACACTTGTTTGGCAGTTTCTGATTGGTTGGAATTCCAACCTTCAACATTCTCTTGGTTGAGTTGGAAATGTTCCAAACCTCCAAAGTTTAGGCTTGGCAAACCCAAACCAAGTTTCATCCCAACCAACTCAACCATCTTCTCCAAATCTTCCTTTGTCGAGAGAAGTTCTCAACAATTGACTTAGAGAGAGATCGATGGTTGTTAGCTCGGTAGTTAGGGTAATACGTTACAGCTAGCGATGGCGACGAGCGTCTTATCTTCGCAACATTTGTGCCCATCCATGGTCTCCGCACTCGCACTAAGAAGCGAGCCCTCGTCTTCCAGTCATCTTGCCCATTCGAGAAGCTGGAAAGCTGCGCAGTTCGCGGAACGGATGCAGATCACTCCGCTGTATATCCTCGACGCTGACGCGCCGGATATCATCTCCCCGAAGCTGTTAATGTTACGCGACGATGCGCCGCGGGAAAGCAACCCGTCGCACCGCGAAGTCCTTGATAAGGTTCCGCGAAGCGAGTCCGCTTTTCAACGGCCCGTCGGACTCGTCGGACTTGGAGAGGACGGGCAACGGTCACACGCCACCGAGCCGCGAGAAAGTTACTACCTCGAGAGTGCCGCCGCTGCGGCTGCCGACGCGGCGTCGACGCAGGCGATGATGGAAGTGCACGTTGACGCCGTTGACGCTGTTGACGTGTCTTTGCCGGCACAAACGGCGATCTCGCTGCCAACGGCTGAGGGCGACTCACTGGAGAACCTCGGTTGCGCGATTGATCTCCTCACGATTGCTTCCCCGCCGCGATCCACGGCGGAGTCTGGCCCTGCAGGAGCGGTCAAGAATCCGTGGGATACGGATCAGAGCTGCCAGCAATACGTCTCGTCATCGCGTTATTTATCGCGCCGCGCTTCGTGTAACGAACCAAGGGGAACCTTTCTGCCGCCCAAATCGCCGACTCCGCCCATCGCAACGATACAATGGCGTAGCAATAGCGGTGGCGTCGGCGCCGGCGCTGGCGCGGGCGCGTGCAACCGTCCGCAAACTGCGGAAACCGCCGCGACGCTCGGTTGGCGGCGTGGCGGACAAATCACCGACTTGAGCCTTCCCAGTCGTGGTGTTGAGCGAGCTACTTCTGAAAGGATAAGCGGAAACAAATCCGCAGAGAGCTGTCCAGCTATCTGCATCACGCCGAGTGGCTTTCGTCACGGCGGTTGGCTCGAAGAAAGTGCAAGTAACGAACTTTTGTCGCCGCGATGTTCGCCTTACAGCGAATCCGGTAGGGATGGCTCTAACGCGGATGCTGCTGGTACCAGTCCTAACCAGGCTCAAGGTTTTTTCTCCTCGCGAACTACGGGCAGCTTGAAGGGTTTCCCCCATTCGGCAAGTCTGAGCTCGATCGGGCAGAACCGTTCGAGAATTTGTATTCAGCGCAGCCGCAATCAAGCCCTGTTTGGCGAAATTCCCGGGACGGTGTTCGAAGACCCGCAAGTTTGGGCCCCAATTCCTGAAATCAAGGAAAGGAACGACGGATTTGGTAGGAAGATTTCCCCGAACGTGGCTAATAACGAGGATGGAGTGACCCGCTGCTACACTCCTAGCACCAGCCCTCTAGGCAACAAAGCAATGATAATTGTAAACCAGCGACACCACAAGCGGCATTCCATTGGTGAAATTGACGGAACTTTGTTTGAGGAACTCAGTAAGGAGGATGAGGCAGAGGTGCAGCTATCCCATCTAAGTGGAGAATTTCCATTGAGCAACACTGCTGGGGATGCTCGGGATTTCCAGAGGAGGATATCTCCTAAGGCAAGCCAATGCCAGCCCCGAAACGCCCCGGAAACGAGGCATTTTTTTCCTGCAGGAGCAGCCGCATCAGCAGCCGGAGCTGGAACAGCCCAGGCAGCAGCAGTCGTGACGCTTTCGTCGCTCTCATTCCGCCCAATGCAATCAGCTCAGCAACCCTCCCCTGTCAACTGAGATGGACGACCAAGCAGCGACAAACTGGCTGACAAGCGGAGCTCCCAGCCCCAGGGTGGGTGGCAGGGCCATGCGGAGAAGGAGCAGCGGCAAAATGATTCGACCTTCATTATCATCATCATCTGTTATAGGCATCCCAGGAGGCAGCGGAGGAGCTTCTCCCGCTGGACCAGGCAACCCAAACAGTCCAGGCAACTTCCCCGGGAATCCAGGCAACCTTGGAAATCCGGGTACACCCCGTGCTGCCCTGGGGCCAGCGTTCTGCCCGAGCCCGAGATGGGTTGGGAAGCGGTCTCCTGTGGCGTTTCAGAGGGATCCGTGGGGGCAGCAAGGGGGGAGCCAGCAGGAGGGCAGGCAGCAGGGTGGAAGGGAGAATGCACGGCGTCACTCGGTGAGTGAGATTGACGGGTCGGTGTTTGAAGAGCTTGCGCTTGCTGCTCAGCAGCTGCAGCAGTTGAGGGATCCCTGAGAGGTGAATCGTGATGTAGATTACCTTGTCTCTGAAAATTAAGGATCGTGCTCCTTTAAAGCTCCTTTAGCAGGTGCAGTGGGATTCAGATGAGAGGAAATTTCACAACTTTCCCGCCACTAAATTCGAAGCTCTAGAGCTAATCCTGGCACAGTTCCTGCTTGTTCTCAACATCTTCATGTGGCGGCGTGCCAAACAAGCCCCGAAGAAGAAACTATGGACGGTCTGCCAACTTACACTCGCTAAGCGTTGTCGTTTCATCTCCTTCTCCCTCGACTGCTCCCCCCCCTCCCCCCCCCATTCACCCAAAGCGTCACGCCTCCCGTCCGCTCGACGACGCTTTGCACCCACCGTATACTCCTCTAGGCCAATACATTTCAAACACCGGCTCCTTCGGTGACCGCCAGCTCGGCAGGGGAATTATGCGTGTTTATCCGTTGTTGTGTCGGTGTTTCGCTTACAATCTTCTTGCTTGCATTGCACTTGTTTTGAATATAGTTAAGGCCTTAATAAAACCTTAAAGTCTTATGTATATTTGAGAACGGGGAATGTCTTGATAATATTTAACACGCTTATATGTGACCACACCAAAGATAATATATTTCTAATAAGAATCTGCACATGAGAGTACACTCCTGCTTGGATTACTATAACAGCTCCATGTGGTTTTTCATAAAGCGAGCTCATTCTGGTACTGAGGAATCGTATGCGCGAACACTGCCTTGCGTTTTCTTCCTCAACTCAAACCACCCCAGTACTGTATTACGTCCAGCGTGGAATATTCTTCCGACAGACCAAACCTACACCACATGCCAACGTCCGCGCGACCGCTTCGAGTCACCAGTTTTTGTCGGGCCAACATCATAGACATGCAAATTAGTCTGGTAACCCTATCCAATGGTATGCAAAACCGTCTTACCTCAGTTTTGGAGGTATTGACATTCTGCCCTAATAACGCGTTTGTTTTTAAATTACACATTGAACCTTACCGCGCCTGCCTTCGCACTAAGACGTGATTTCTTCGGGCCAAGAAAAAAAAAAAACCCAATCGGAACGGGATGCGTCAGGGAGGCATCAACCCTAAAAACAATGTCCTTTCCCGTGTTTAGGGTTGATCCCTCCCGGAAATGCGTCCAGGTCCCTAGGGGTTTTATTGTTTTTCAGCCCTGCCCTAACACTTCCCGGTAGCAATATATTGGGTGCAATATATTGTTACAAAATGGACCCCGTATTATTTCATTCCAATGGATTTTTCGTAAATGTATCGTGTCAGAATGTTATAATTGTCTAGCCTGCAGTGGGGTACTCCATAGTGAGTACAGCCCAATTAGGGTTTGCTATATGTATCCAACTGCTTGCTAGTGAACCGACTCCTTTCTTCATTCATACTTTCTACTGCTAGTTCTGACATGCTATCAGAGCAGGTCGATCCCCTTGGGTCGATCCTGTGGGTGGGCCCACCACCTCACTGCTTCCGCTGCTACTGCTACTCTGTGTGTTGCACGCCCCGTGGCGTGCGACGGATTTTTCATCCCGCCGCGCGCTCGGAGCGTGCGGCGGTTTTCTGCCCGCCGTGCGCCCCGAGGCGCGCGGCGGTTTTCTGCCCGCCGTGCGCCCCGAGGCGCGCGGCGGTTTTCTGCCCGCCGTGCGCCCCGAGGCGCGCGGCGGTTTTCTGCCCGCCGTGCGCCCCGAGGCGCGCGGCGGCTTTCTGCCCCGTCACTCCGCGCGTCGCTCCTGGGAGGCGCTGCGACGGGCGACGGGGACCCGCGCGTCGCCCCCCGTCGCCCGTCGCGGCCTGCGCGACCTGCGTAGGGCCCGCGCGCGGCCCGTACAGCCTGCGCGCGGCCCGTACGGGCTGCGCCAGGCCCGCGCACGGCCCGTACGGGCTGCGCCAGGCCCGCGCGCGGCCCGTACGGGCAGCGCCAGGCCCGCGCGCGGCCCGTACGGGCTGCGCCAGGCCAGGGCGCGCCTCGGGCCGCCCGCCCGCGGCTCGTACGGGCTGCGCCAGGCCCGTGGGCGCCCTGTTTCCTCTTCCCCTGCGCTGCTCGCTGTCCCCCGTGCTTCTGACGGCGCCCCACCCCTGCTGCTGCCCGTTCTCCTGAATTAGGGTTTGGGGTGGGGGGTATGGGGGTGCAGTTTCTGTGTGCCGTCCCCTGCTCCTCCTCCTCCTCCGTCTCCCAGTGCTGCAGCTGCCGCTGAGGGGGGTGGATCTGTTGGAGCCGTCGGAGTGGTACTAAGGGGTGAAGGGGGAGTGGAGCTAGGGGTGAAGAAGGGGGTGTGTGTGAGAGGGGTGTGGGACGGTCGGGGGAGGTTGAGTGGAGGCTGCTGTCTTGTCGTCCGCAGCACCTGTAGTCCGGGGCGCACTGTCCTGGTAGCCCAGAGAGTCTGCTGCGCCTGTCGCCCGTGGGTCCGTTGCTCCTGTAGCTCCTCGTAGCCCGTGAGCCAGTTACTCCAGTAGTCCGGGGCGCTGTCTCGGTAGCCACTGTGCCAGCAGCTCCTGTTGCCCGTGTGTCTGCAACTTCAGCCGTCGTCTCCCATCTTCTATCCTCGCACAGTCCCTCCTCCTCCTCACTTGCCCGCTGTGATTACCTCTAGCTTTGCTTATAATTGTGAACTACTACTATGCTTGCTTGTTGTGCTGATTACACCCCACTTTGGCTATGGGGGTGTGTCAGAATGTTATAATTGTCTAGCCTGCAGTGGGGTACTCCATAGTGAGTACAGCCCAATTAGGGTTTGCTATATGTATCCAACTGCTTGCTAGTGAACCGACTCCTTTCTTCATTCTTACTTTCTACTGCTAGTTCTGACATATCGTGCACATTTAGCGGAAAATAGTAGCCCGGAGGAATATTTTTTAGGCGCCAAACGAGGCGCGGTAAGAACCACGAAGATACGAAATCGAAAACGCAACCGATTATATCTCATATTTCTTCCCTTTTTGTGCTGCGTCAGCAGTTACACAGTGTTTTGAGTGGCGCTACCAGACAAACTTGCGCAGCAGAACTAGGGTATCGACGGTTTTGCATACCATTGGATAGGGTTACCAGACTAATTTGCATGTTTATGATGCTGGCCCGTTTTTGTCGTTTGGGTCGATCATAAACTGTCCACCTCGGCGCTGAAGCGACGTCCACGTCATACTAACTTACGTGGCATTCCTTGAGCACGTGTTATGTGCACTTAGTTGGGCAAACTTCGATGCAGGCGCATCGCTGAAACGCCATCCCCATCCACTCATATTCTTAACTTCCCTTACCTTTATCCTACCTGGGGCCAACATCACAGGCATGCAAAATAGTATGGTAACCCTATTCGATTGTATGCAAAACCGTCGATACCTCGGTTTTGAAGTTATTGACATATTGCCCTAGAATTGCGGTTCTATGTACTTCAAAATCAGATTTTTACCACGCTTTGTTGTCCTATAAAACTCAATTTATTCGGGCGACTGTTCTGCCATATGAGCAGCACTGTTCGCTACACCTGCAGAAAAAATAAAACCCAATCGGAAAGGGATGCGACTCGGGAGGCATCACGCCTGAAAACAATGCCCTTTCCCGTGTTTAGGGTTGATCCCTCCCTGAAATGAGTCCCGGTCCCTAGGGGTTTTATTTTTTTCTTGCCTGCCCTAACAGTACCCGGTAGCAATATATATTACTTTCATTCCAACGAATTTTCCGGTCGAAATTATCGTGCACATTCAACGGAAAATTGTTGCCCGCAGGAATCGTTGTCAGGCGCCAAACAAGGCGCGGTAAGAATAGAATGAAAAGAATTCGAAAGCGTATTCGATTGTTGCACGTATTGCTTTCTTTTTGTGCTGAGTCAGCTGTTACACAGTGTTTTGAATGGCGGTACCAGACAGATTTGCGCAGTGGAACTGGGGTATCGACGGTTTTGCATACAATCGAATAGGGTTACCAGACTGTTTTGCATGCCTGTGATGTTGGCCCATCCTACCTGCCACCGCCATGCCGACCGTGTGTTCTAATTGCGTTCTCTAGGAAAATGTCAAGCAACTACACGACAGCCACGTTACCGCAGTCCGTCGTCCCACTGAATAGCCTGGCCATTCCACCAATAGGAAATACAATTGCCAGTTGCTTGGTTTTCCTTCGTCAGCCCGTGCTACAAAATCTCGGTTTCGTAGCTTTTGAAAAATCAAAAGCTACCGAGTGACTCGGTCTTAGAACACAAAAGTTGAGTTGCTATGGCGACGAGCGTCTTATCCTTGCAGCAGTTCTGCCCATCCACACTCGCACTCGCCAGCAACCCCACCACAACCAGTCCTCTTGCTCAATATCCGAGAAGCTGGAAATCTGCGCCGCGCATCGCGGAGCGGATTCATCATGTCACTCCGCTGGATATTCCCGACGCTGACGCCGAGGCTGAGGTGCCGGAGATACCGTCACACGTCACCGAGTGGCGAGAAATTCTCGAAAATGTCGCCGCTGCGGTCACGGTTGCGTCTACGAAGGCGATGATGGAAATGCACGTTAATGCCGTTGACGCCGTTGACGCGGCTTTGTCGAAGCAAACGATGGTCGCGCCCGCGACAGCTGACAGCGATTCGCTGGAAAATCTTAGTTGCGCATTCGACCTCATGGAGATGACTTCCCCGTCGCAATTCACGGCGAAGTTTGGCCCTTCCGCGGTCAGGACTCTGGCCGGTTTGGCTCAGAGCAGCCAGAAGAGTGACGGTGGTGACTTGGCAGAATTCGATTTGGCAAAACCCGGTGACAACGATATCCCCGTTATCGTCCGCAAACTGCTGACAGCACCGCGGCGCTCGGTTTGCAGCGTGACGGATTTTCTCTTTCGCGGACTAAGGGCAGCTTGAGTTGTTTCCCCCACTCGGCAAGTCTGAGCTCGATCGGGCAGATCCACTCGAAAGTTTTTATTCAGCGCAGCCGCAATCAAGCCCTGTTTGTCGAGATTCCTGGGGCAGTGTTCGAGGACCCGCGAGTTGGGGCTCCGATTCCTGAAATCAGGGAGAC